GGCCTCCAGCTACTGCTTCAGTCCCTTCAGAGGCCTTAGGTCCTACCCTATGAGACTAGCGAAGATGGTCCAAGCTTCCTTCCTTCCTCCTGCCTTGGAAGGTTCTCCCATGAATGTGCCACCACACCCGACTTAAAATATTCTAAGCACCATAATGTAGGTGTTGTTTTATCAGATGGCTTAAAATTGATCATCTGAGGGCATCCCACTGTATAATGCAATACTTTGGATTTTACTTCACTTTTGAATCCCAAGCTCACAACTTCTCTTTCCTGCGAGAGCTGAGAGGGTCAGAAAGAACCTGGGCTGTGTCAGCCTACCCCAGGGGCTTCCAGGTATTGTTCCCAGTACCAGACACACAGCAGACTTACCTTAAGAGGCTTAAGAAATTAGTATCATCACAAGTAGCACAATATGTAATAAATGCCTCAGATTGGCCTAGGCACCAACTAAATTGTGAACTCTGGGAGAGGCCCTCATCATTATTGTTTTTTCAAAAAGTCTCCCAAACTCTGCTACATCAAAGGCAAGAAGCCAAAAGCAAAACCATAGAACTCCAGGGCACGGTGCTTCCTGAGAATTCTCCAACTCCCTACGGTGTTCACCTCACCTGCAGATGGTGCTGAGCTCTGAGTGTGGCTTGTCTCCTCTAAGATGCTCCCTGAGAGCTGGGGGCCACTCTAGTGGAACTGGAGGTGGGGCCTTTAAGTTGTGATTGGTTAGGTGCTAAAGAGGAATCAAGTCTTTTCTCAAAGCAGTGAGTTCTTGTTCTCCGGGGACTGTGTTAGTTACAGACACAGGAATGTTATCCAGCGAGAAAGTGCTCATCCAATGTGTCCCTCTGAATTCACCTGCTTGCCCTTTCACCTTTTACCATGATATGACAGTACTGGTAGCTATGGACTTTCCAGTTTCCAGATCGGAAGCTAAATAAATTTCTGTACTTCATAAATTATCCAGTCTCGGGTATTTTGTTGTAGCTACAGAAAATGGACTAAGGAGAGATGGGATCTCAGGCAGAAAACGGGCTCATCTGATAGAAAAGAGAAAGGGTGGGGAGGGGAGGAACGGGAAGGGAGGGCGATAAGAAGCAAGAAGTCCCGTGGGTGCTGCTTTTTCTACTCAGCCTTCCTTATTACCTTGTGACCAGCCAGGTTACAGTTCACACTAAGTCCTGTCTCATCAAGAATTCTCTGAGCTGGCACTGGGGAGAAGGCACCCTGAAGCTGAAGGTGGGCATGCTTTACCACGATACCATGAGCCCACCAGACGCCCCACAGCCTTGCAGTCTGCTCTGCTCCCCTTTCCTCGGCTCCCTGCAAACCCACATCTGCCACCCATTTTCTCCAAGAAACACAGCAGGAGACAATCAGATCAGATCTGCAGCTAAAAACACTGCGCACGCCCAGGTCAGCTCTGGCGGAACAGATGCTACTGCTCTTTGGTGAAGCAGTCCGGATCTTGCCGCAGAGTCTGAACGTGCATGTGGCTGGCGTGCTCGACTTTAAGCAAGGGTCTGTGGGGCTGACAGGCACCTGGTTCAGCAGAGAGAACATGAAGTCACCCTGAGCGTGCTAGAACCTTGGTTGTCCCTTCTCTTCCTGTCGCTTTGAGCGAGTCATTTCATGTGTCTCACACTCTGATCTTTGAAATGAGGAACTGTGGTTTTACTTTTTAAAAATCCATACAGGGGAGGCAGTGTCACCCCGGATTTTGTGGGGGTGCTGGCAGTATGGAACACCGACACACATGCCAAGAGAACATCTGATGTTTTGGTTCTCTTTCTTTTTGTCTGATCTTGGTAGACAAAGAGTAATAATTATGACCATATTGTCTACTGCACTTTTTCTTCTCTCTCTCTCTCTCTCTCTCTCTCTCTCTCTCTCTCTCTCTCTCACACACACACACACACACACACACACACACAATAGAGCTGTTTTTAGTTGATTTCACCGACTAGTAGTCATCTGGAAATTAATGACTTTCATTTAATTTTATTTTGAATTACTTTTATGGCGTGTGATAGCTATTTAAGGGAGTGCACTAAAGTTCAGTCTTGAGTAAGTTTATATGGGCCAAAATATTAAACAATACCACACACACTGGTATGTGCGCAAGGTCAAAATAATTGACTTGATGCTCTAAAGTCCTGAGTTGTGGGGGTACTGGGTAGGGGAGTGCCAGCTCTCTGAGATGGGGCTATTACTTAGCATTTCAGAAAAAGCAAAATTGTCTTGTTCCCTGTGTGATATTAATTTAGGCAGTTCATACAGACTGCAGAATTGTCCTCACCTTGAGGTTGTCCTCAGCCTGACTGAAGGACCCTGACCTGAAAAGAACAGATAGACCAATGAGGTGGATGAAATGGCTCATCAGGTAAAGGCGTCTGCTGCCAAGTCTAAGGATCAGAATTCAATCCCCAAGACCCAAGCAGGAGAAGGAGCGCACTGACTCCACAAGCTGACCTCTGACCTCCACCTCCCAATAAATAAACATAATAAAAACTTCTAAAAATTGGAGCAGGCATCTGGAATGCATGTTTTCAGTACCCTGTAAAACGGTCATGAAAAAGAAAACTGGAAATATTACCATCACTTTTACATTTGACCAGCCTTTGGTTAAAACTTGGAGGGAAAGGTTGTTGCCTCACCGTTCTCCAAGCTGCCCGTCTTTGATGCTCATTCTTATTGTCAGTAAGACAAGGAAGCGAGCATTAAAGAATATCGTTGCCCTGCAAGTACCAGACCTAAGAAACCTAATCAAGGAGTACAAATTAAAAGCAGAGGAACAGTTACATCTGAACTTCAATGCAGAATACCTTTGAATCGGACTTCTAACGAGCTGATGTTGACATCACCTTGTTTCTCTCTAGTGAGGAAGGGTTGCAGAGACACCTCCCAGCCTACAGGGGGCGCTGTTACTGCCAAACATTTCCTTGCGTGTTTAAAGGTTCAAATAACTGGTGTCACTTTGTCTTTTCTGGAAAGAATAACCCCGGCTTTCCCAGTCTTTCTGCACCCAATTTCATGGTCATCCTTACCCCACTTCTGTGACAAGAGAGCCTTCAGAACAGGTTTGAAGTGGAAGGCTGAACGCAGAACTTGTCTCCTGGAACTCCTGATCAACGTTTTGCACTGCTATGTGGGTAGAGTACTTAGTATGTCCCTAACAGCGATAATGTCAGCCTCACAGGGTTGATGGATTAAAGAAAATCCTACCCTCCCAAGGGGGATGCCCCATCAACCTTGAGGGTGCTGAACTGGATTCCTTGCCAGAGTTCTGCTATTTTCCCTCGTTGGAACGTACCAGAGCTGCGGTTACATATTATAATGTACTGTCCTGGCTGTAGTCCAAACCTACAAGTTTCACATTATAATTTGTTGTTGTTGTTTGTTTTGAGACAAGGTTTCTCTGTGTAGATCTCGTTGTCCTGGAACTTACTCTTAGACCAGACCCTCCTCCAACTCACAGAGATCTGTCAGCCTCTGCCTCCCAAATGCTGGGATTAAAGCTGCGTGCCACCACTGCCCAACTGACATTATAATATTTTTTACCATCAAGGAAATAACATAAAGAAAGCCCTGCTGTGGGTTTCAGAAATGGCTCAGCAGTTAAGAGCACTGGCTGCTCTTCCATATGACCTGGGTTCAGTTCCCAGCACCCACACGACAGCTCACACCTCTCTGTAACTGCAGTTCCAGGGGATCTGACACCCTCACACAGACATACATGCAGGCAAAACACCAATGTACACAAAATAAGATTAAATAAATAAATAGATAAATAAAAAGAAAGCCCCACCACCTACAACATAGGATGGCTCAGACAACACACGGGTCTCCAAACACTTGGGCTGAATGCTTAGATACACAGGAGCCAAGTAGTTACAGCGTCTCTAGCACTTTTGAGAAGGAGATGTCTTTGCATTTCCTCCGCTTTGTATTGGTTGAAATTCTTACCAGCTCCAATCCAGTAATTGGATAGCCTACAAGGTGCCTTTTATAGTTCCCTCTTCCATTACTTTCCAAGCATAAAGACATTCACCCAAATCCACCTTGAAATCCAAAAGGATAGGCATCCTCAATTAATTTAATCTACTTAATGTCCTCCTTAATGTCAGTTTTCTGTGACACTTCCGTAAGGGCGTCACATGCTTTTTTTTTTTTTATTCTTTCATGCCACAATTTAATTTTTCTGTATTGAGTACCCAGTATGTGACAGGTCCTGTCCTAGGCCAAAAGAGGAGAAATTACAAATCAATAAGCCGGATTGGGCCTAAAGCCTGCTTTGTGAATTAGTTCATTAAAATCCAGCCACATTCTCTCGTTCGTATGTCAGGTAGAGCTGAGGGAAGCAATTCTGACAAGGACCACTCGGCTCACAAAGCCAAAACATATTTCCTATCTGCTAATGGATAGAAAAATTTGTCAGTCCTGTTCTAGGTAAAGTAGATGGATAGGGAGAACAGGAGAGATAAGTAGTGTGTGTCTTTGGGAGTGTCTGGGTAGGGAGCACACTGAACAAAGACTATTCACTTAACCTCAAGGGAAGCCCGAGTTTACCCAAGAGATAACCGTCTGAGCCACTGCTGAGACTTGCAAGAAAAATGAAAAAGCAACCCCCGCAAGACAGGTGTGGAAAGAGATGTGTAAAAAGAAGCCAGAGAGAGATTGGCTCGGTTAGTGTGGAAACCAGCTGGAATCGGCAGGCTACAAGGGGCCTCCAAATACACGGATCAGAATCACTGCAAACATCCTTTAGATTGAGGATTAACAGTTGCCTCTAGGAATCAATGCTCTGTAGAAAGATCGGGCTTTCCTATCATTCCTAGGCACACCCAGGTGACTCTGGAACAATCCACAGTATGTAGGCTATTGGATTCATCTTAGGTTGTAGGGAGTGACTGGAGGACGCCTCCAACGGGGTCAAGCCCGAAGTCCATTTAGAGCAAGTGAGAAGCGGAAAGAATTAGGGAGCAGACACGGAGAGGTGGGTGCAGTGAAAAGGCAGTTTATTGTCTATTAACACTGTACAGAGGAACAGAAAGAAGCTACACGTACAGCATTGATGTCGCTGGCAGTGATTATTATTATTATTTTTTTTCTGAAGTTGGTTTTTGTTGTTTTGTTTTCATCCGGAGGATACAGAACAGTCAAAGTACACTTCGGGTTACAGAGCACAGCAGCTAAGCCCAGCAAGTCTATTTCAGAGTAAGCACAACAGACTCCCAGCCCCCCACCCACCGACCAACCACGAATGGATGTATATACAGACGCATCACACGCCCCACCCTACCCCCGACTGAGCAGGTAAAGCTGAAAATCCCGTCAACAACCTACATTCAACTGAAAAGCTGCATCAGACACAACATTTTCTGGAACCCTTGTTAAGATTTTTTGTCTCTCCTAAGCCAGGAGTTTGAAAGGAAGAAAGAATGTTCCAGAATCCTGCAAAGGACAGAACTCTTCTTCCCACTTGTCAGAATAGGATATCGTGGAAATCAGTGGAGCTACGCGCAGAACGGTACAGATCAGACAGGGCCTGGTGACCTCTCACCTCTTTGTCACTGCAAACCCTAGCGATGTTGCCCTGCCCACCCAGTCTGGAAGCCAGGAGGTTTCCTTGGTAACAAGAGTGTCTGGCTTTCCCTCAGCACCAGGCAGCACCTTCAGGCAATTGCATAGTTCTTTTTGCAACTGTCTCCATGGCAGTGAGGTTCACACATAGGCTTGAGCTGGGCTTGTTTTTTGGGGGGAGGGGCAGGATGTGGATTCTGGTGATGAAGATTTTAAAATTATTTGCCCTGGAACTATAGGGGTTATTTTTATTGAAATAGAAAGAGATGTTTATGACCTTGCCTTGCTGGGAAAAGGATCCTGGACTCTTGGGGCAGGGAAGGATGCTGTCTGGGAAGGGGGTCAAACAGGAAAGGTGGGAAGACTCACTCTGAGGTTTGACCCACTCTGTCATCTGGTTACAGGAACAGGCATGGATGAAGTATCAGCTAAAACACACTGTGATGGGGACTCTTAAATTTAGCATAAAATTGGGCAAAAGAGTCAAGAACTCTACAAACTCACAGTCCCATCTATGGATAAAGAGAAAATTCTTTCTGGTTTCTACAGATCTCTGTAAGTACAATGCAACCTCAGCAATGGATACAGGCCTGTGAGGGGAGTTGGATGTTTCTATTTCTGTAGAGACTATAGATCAGGCACAGCCAATCTGCAGATCATACCCTGCAAGCATCCCAGATAATGAATGCCTGAAATGTTTCATATGACATCATCATGTTACAGTGTTAAAAGGTTGGACATCCCTACCAGTGTAGATGGTTATATCCAGTTCATCATCTCATGCATCTGATACCATCTATGTAAATGCACCGTAGGGAATGGTCCCTTCACCATAAATGCAACAATCACTTCTTGAGTGTGTAAAAGAACTGGATTTGGGTCACTGCTAGGTTTCTCTTGCATAGAGAAACCTCATCTCCTTCCCAAAGGCAGTTATGTATTATAAAAGGTGTGGTCCAAAGGGCCAGAAACTAACACAACCTAATGGACCAAGCCCAGAAAGCTCAGGCTTACAGTGCACATCTGTTGGAAACCTTGGATTTCATGCCGAGGCTGAGTCACAAGATCTGAGTTAGTGCTATCGAATTCACCAGAAAGAAACCATAAGGGAACAGAGAAAGAACTCAGTCAGTCGAGGGGGTTTTCAAACTCAAGCTCCACGATACATATAGATTCCACTATAAAAATATTATTCTCTAAAAAAATACATAAATGTAAATATTCCATTTCTACAGTGACTCCTTACCCCTACCTATATCGTGCTACTCCTTCGAGACTACGGTAAATACATACCCTCAGGGGGGCCCCCACACAAGTCTATCTCGCTTGCCCTTTCAAGCCAGTCCAATTGTGCTTCCAACTGTGCTCCTGGACCCAGAGCCTAAGAAGGCCCCTCACAGCGGGTAGTCTAGGGCCCCCACGACCTGCCCCTGGAATGTCAGAGTGATCCTGCAGGCTCAGATGGGAACCAGAAACACTCAGTTAGGAGAAGGGGAGGGACAAGGCCCAGGCTCTGCCTCTGTTAACCCCTCTGGGGCCACACCTTCAGGTTCTGCCTGAAGCTCCTGTAATGAAATTCACAGCTCTGGGCTGGAGTGGGGAAGAGAATGTTGTGTGCATACAGCTTTGGAGTACAACTGTTGATGTCTGTTTGTTTTTTTAAACGGGACAGAAGAGGAGAACACAAACAGCAGTGCTAAGGCATATATCCAATGGCACATTAGAACGCTTTTTTTGTCATTCATTGTGTGGACATCACAAGGCAGATACAGTCTGTAAACATATATGCTGTACAGTACATTAACCATACATGGAAAGGAAAAGAAAGTCACCCTGTATGTCTTTTCTTTCTGGGATTCTGTTCTTTCAAGTCAAAGGAGTTGCCAGGGGGGTCTAGGGAGAATTTTAGGGTTGGTGAGACAGATGCTTTTCTTTAGACTTAAAAAAAAAAATGCAGTGACTTGCAGAAAACAAAAAACAAAACAAACAAAATGACTAACACCCTAGGTGAGCATTCAGGGGAAGTAGGGGAAGAAGTGACCATTCACGCATCAGCCTGTAGAAACTTAGAAACCATCACAGAAGATACAAAAGTCCTCGACAGCAGGAGATAGTTTGCTCTCCTGCTTAGTAAGAGGAAGCAGTGAAAAAAATCATTGTTATTATTGTTACTATCATCAGTATGATTACTACAAAAGTTAAGGCTGTCCAGATGCTGTCTCGGATGCAGAAAGTCTGTGGTCCCTCAATTATGTTTTCACATAGACAGCGAGGTTTCTGTGTGGCAGTTCTGACCCTCTGGTGCTAGACTGGAAGGGAATCAGAGGTCTCTGAAGTTGTGAAAATGAAGCTGGGGGACTTCCCCGGGGGATCACCAGTGAAATTTTCCTTTAAATATTTCAGGATGTAATCTTTATACCCCTCTGCATCCAAACAAGCACCATGTGGGGTTTTAGTGAAGTGGGATTTGACAAGTTTGCTGAAGCCATGAGAAACCATACTCTTCTAAGGAGGGATTTTAGTTTTTCCTCACAAGATACAAGTAGGCCTTCCTGGTAAGTCCTAAAAAGTGCTGGGCTATGAAGGTGAACTGCCAGCAAAAACCTAAGATCCGATTTTTCTCATTGTTTTGAGCTGTTTTCTATGTACCCATAGTGTCAAAGCCCCTGTGGTGTTTACTAACCCAGTAGAAAAAAGGATGCTTCCACAGTCTGTCCAAATCAATACACCTCAATTAACAGACCATGGTATTTTCAAATAATTGCATATTTATAAAGTTTTGAAACCTATTTTTTTAAAATGCTTGGAATTTATGGATTTAGTTATAAATGTAAGTATTACAAAAATACAATATGAAACTGTTCACCTTGGAATGGCTTAAACTGTAAACTGACATTGCTGGAGATGGGGTGCTTTTACCAGGGAAGGGCACGCCAGTGAGTTAAATCCTCCAGTGGGACAGCCACAAACAGAGGTGACTCACTGCCTAGGTTTTAAGTGAGGATAATGCCAACAAAATGTGTCCTCACTGTGTGTTCTACCTATTTTCCTCTATGTTTTAAACGGACAGGGTCAGTGTTCATTAAGAAGGAAGGGCCAAGGCAAGTACTTTGACATTTCACCTCTATCAGCTGCCTCACTCTGTCCTTTGCTTTTCTGATGACCACTGATTCTGGCATTAAGTAATTCATAGCTTTCAGGAACGTTCTGTGGTTCCTGAAAAGACACTTCTTTAGGAAGTGGAGGAGTTTGCCTCCAGAGTTTTGTCCCAGAGATGATACCGTATCCCTGGGAAGCTCTCTATCTACGCATTTACCTTCTTGTAAAGCCTCAATACAGAAGGGAATTTTTGGCCCTTTCCTGGACACCGCCGATGATAAGTGGAATCACCGGATACCAGCCAACTATCTGCGAAGCAATTTGTTTTTTGTTGTTACATAAGGAAAATGATACACTTGTGTGTAAAAGTTTAAAAAAGAATGCCCTAAGAAAAAGATGTCAAGAACATTCAAGTTATGAAGAGTCTTTAGATATATATGTAGGGCCAGACTTGGCCATCACAAAGGGTCTAATTAAATACCATTAAAATAAAAATAAACAATACCCCTTTCCTCCTTTTTGTTTCTTTTATTTAAAAGGGAACTGATTAAATAATATATATATACACATATACATTATACACACATATATGTGTTTCTGTACATTTTTGTCTTTTTTTATTGTTTTGTTTTTTGTTTTTGAGGCAGGGTCTCACTATGTAACCCTGGTTAGCCTGGACTTAATCTATAGATCAAGCTGACCCCAGACTCACAGGGATGTCCTGCCGCTGCCTCTCTAATGCTGGGATGAAAGGTGTGCTCCACTAGGTTGGGTGGAAATGAGTTATATTTTTATGAACAGCCTAACATTGGCTCAAAACGAGATTGTGGTTTGGCAATATCATCATGGATTCTTTACTCTGGTTATGCGACCACACAACCACATACTTTGCTTCTAGAAGGGGCAATACCACAGGTGGGGGGGGCAGACAGACAGACAGACAGACAGACACTGTCAATAGTCATGGGAGTGGCAGTCACGATTACAATCCTATTCAACAGTTTCATCATCAAGGCCATAACTTGATGCTGTAGATGGGCTGCTCGAGGATTTGCTGAGCCTGAATCCCCCACAGAGACTGGAATTGTATGCAAACATCTGCCATATTCAAACATACTTTCATATACTGTAGCCACAAATAATTTTAATGAGGGCACTATGTCTTATTTCAATTAAATGACATTTTTTTAAACAACAAAATGTTAGAGCAAATCCTAACTCACAGTTTGCCAGTCACTTGCTCATACTAATAATGACCAACAGATGATGGCAGACTATCCTTGGTCCTTGAGATCTTATGAAGAGTGGGAGGTACAGACTGCTGTCTTCATAGATAAATAGTTTTCTTATGAAGTTCCAAAGATCAAGCCCAGGGGGTTCTGAGCTCTGCCATCCACTCCCTCACTGTGCTTCTGAAACCTCACATTGAGCAGTCCAAATCCCCAGGAAAGCAAAAGAGATAGGCAGAGGAAACCTTTAGATTGTAAATTTCCCAAATGAATTCTTAAAATGGATTGTCTGAAGCCACAGGGACTAGTCTCTCCTGTTGTGGAAATGGGTTTGTCCACATGGCGTTTTAGTCCAGGCTTGTGTGCTATTTAACCGTTACCTGTGGAGGAAAAGGGCTGTGACCCCAGAACCAAGCTTCCAGACCACAGAGTCGCTGCATTCTACCGCAGCTGTGCTCGCGAAGCCCAGACCTAGTGACAATTCTTCAGTTTCCTCAGGGAAACCATGGAGGGGACAATCTGAGAAACTTAGTTCATTTCTTTGCTCTTCCTTTTTAATTTTTCTTGTTTACATATTAAAGATTTGACTCATGTGCTCAGTAAAAATGAAATGACTTGAGAAAAAAAGATAAAAATGTCATTTCTCTTTAATCGTAATAAATATAACTTTAAACCAAGAAATGGACAAAATTACAGATTTGTCCTCAGAGAAGCTAAATGAAACAAATGTAGTTGGTTCTGTACTGCGATTCTCCAGGCTTCCTTAGAATTTTTTTCTGAGCTATTTTTCAGATATTTTGAGACTTGATGTGGGAGATCAAGTGTATGGTTCTTGAGGCTATATTCCATGGGAACATGCATGATTCTGGTATTGATTTGAGACGATATTATGAATGTCTGGGTAAATAAAGTTATCTCTAAAATCAATGAACACACCGCTATTTCATTTTATTCCTGGACTATGGTTCTTTTTCTAAATTCCTTCCCTTTGGTTCCATTAAACATGTGGGTGTCCAGGTTGGGGTGATGCTAACAATGTATTTCAAGGGTTGTTCATCATGTTTTAGGTTAAAAAAATTCCTTGATATTTTAGAATTCTCAGATATTGAAGAAACAAAACTTTAAGAAACCTAGAAATTTGCAACTCAGTCAGACCATGTGGAAGAATTTAAGATCTTTCTTCCTCTTTCAACATTTTTGACATTGAAAAACCTCTGTTGTTTTATTTTATTTATTTTATTTTTTTGTTGTTGAGACAGGGTTTCTCTGCATAACCCTAACTGCCCTGGAACTCACTCTGTGGACCAGGCTGGCCTTGAACTCACAGAGATCCTCCTCATGTGCCACCACTGCTTGGACTTTTTTTTTTTTCAAAGAGTGGAGAGAACTACACATTGAAGTTACCCCAAGCATTCTCTTACCGATGGGGACATAACGAAGTAATTTTTAAAAAGCACAGATGCGAGACTAATCAGCTGGGCCGGGGAGACGAACCGCTAATGCGTACAGCACCATCCTGGATACGGTAGGGGTGTAATGGCAGCCCCCATTGGTCAGAAAGACTGTTTTAAGAAATATGGTCACTGCAGAGAGACTTCTCAAAATGATCCCCTCTTTGAAAATAGATGAATTCAATCAGAAAATATCCATGAAAAAAAAAACAATATAAAACTTTACATTTTGGGGAGTATGGAAACAGGGCTTATGGATTGGTGAGCACTACAGATGCTGAAAACCATGGTGGCCTGAGGTCCTTAGAAAAACCTGTACAAAGGGTTTTTGTACACTGGGCAAGCCACAGGAAGAGAAAGAGCTGCTGACTGGCAGGGGAGAAGTCAGTCCCTACACTTTAGCTGGGACAGGCGCTGGGTTCTTTGCTTTTGAGTCAACTTCGCTTCAGTTTTAACATAAGGGAAAACACAACACTGTAGTCTGGAAGCTTCTGTAAGGCAGCAAAGAAAACGTGTCATCCTAGAACAGCCAGATGAAGGTAGGTCCACTTTTGGCTACGCTAGCAACTGGCTAGAGCCCACCACATTTTGCTACACAAGATGAAAAAACAAAGATCCACACGGCAAAAGAGGCAGGTGAGAGGCAGTGTGTTTGTGTGTGTGTGTGTGTGTCTATGTTAGAGGAGCACACGCCAAAATGAAAACCCCCGGTGCCAACGGGTTTGAGTCCACTCAAGTCAATTAAGGCTATTATAAACCAGTCGCCGTGAAGAGTCCACTCCAACCGAGCAGTACCGCACTGATTCACTCTTGAAGACACAAGGAAAGACTTAGAGGAGAAAGTAAGTTCTTGGGGAGGAAAAAAAAAATGAAGCAAACACATGCACGTTGTTTCCCAAGTGAGAAGGAAAGATGTGAGTGAGAGATCAAAGCAAATCCAGCTGTGAGGCAAGGCAGGTGTTTGCTTCCAGTTCACAGTATCGCAGTGGTACAGTGAGCTCTAGTTAAGAGGTGGAGAGTAGAGAGGCTGCCCGGAAGAAAGGGAAGGAGAAAGAAGTGGTCACATGACAACACAGCATTGACAGCGCTTTTTCTTTTGGGTACCTGGGGCTGGTTCTGTGGCCAGGCTCTCTTCCTTGCCTTCTGGGGATGAGGGTTCTGTGGTATCCGACGTGGGCCTCCCGGACACCAGCTCGGCCGCGTTCCCATCGATGGTGGACACGTCCGTCACTGTCTTCTCTCTTAGCGATTTCTCGTCGTCTTCATCGATCAAGACTAATTCGGCCTTGATGGTTTCGTCGTAGCCTAGCACCTTTTTAGTCTCCTCTTCATCTTCGATGTTTTGGTAGCCCATAAAAATCATGGTGACGGGTTGATCCAGGTTTGCCTCTGGCCCTTCCGTGCTGGCGGGCTGAACCTGCTGCCCGGGGTTTCCCGAAGCGGGGTCTTTCCTGGATTTCTGTACCATTTCTAACTTGGCTTCTTTGCAGAGCATGTGTTCCTTGGGATGGCCCAGGCTCCCATCCGCAACAACAGTCCTTTCCGACATGTGTCCCCTGAAGCTTGATTGTCCAGCCTTCTGAATGAGTTCTTCCACGTCCTTTGCGCTTAATTTGTGGACTCCGTTTTCTACCACGGTGCCTCCTGAGTGCACCTCATACACTACTTTGGTACCATCATCATAGACTTTGACTCCTCTCTGATGGACCCCCTCTGGGCCAATGGTGGATGCAGAGAGAATCTTGGTCTCTCCTGTCTGTTTGTCTGTCTCCACATTAATTTCCATGGCGTATATAGCTTGAATGAAAACAAGAGAAAGGAAGTGCATGTTACAACAAAAAAAGAAGCCAGTGAATGGTTAATTGCCAAACAGACAGAAAAAAAAAAGTGATGTGTGCCCTTTCTATTGTAACCACCAAGCATCCTGAGTGTTAGCATGAGGCGTGCAGTGTGGACAGAGGCAGCTGTGTATTCTTCACACAGAAGCTTAATGCCCTGAGAAGACAGAGGCATAGAGTCACCGCATCTCAATGAACTCTTTAGGAGAACAGTTAAACTAAGAAACTTCAGGTCTAACAGGACAGGATAATGGGAAGGCCAGCAACATGCATGTGATTGTGACTGAGCTCTGCCTAGGCTTAGAGACAGCTTCAAAGATGCGCCTACCTTTCAGAAGCTTACAGTCATTTTCCTAACTCTTTCATCAAATATATGCCTATATATTTTTTTTTTTTTTTGGTTTTTCGAGACAGGGTTTCTCTGTGGTTTTGGAGCCTGTCCTGGCACTAGCTCTTGTATACCAGGCTGGTCTCGAACTCACAGAGATCCGCCTGCCTCTGCCTCCCGAGTGCTGGGATTAAATATATGCCTATATTTTTCTCTACGTTTTCTCGAACCTGTTAATGGAGGAGATGCCAAGTGTTTTGCAGGCGGGACATAGCTGTCCCCCTCTACAGTACGATCAGCTATTCTGCAGAAACGGAAAGAATCGGAAAGCATTGGTACGGTGTACTCTAAGAGGAAATCCAGTCGTTATCTGACCTCCAGCTGGAGTGTAAAGTTACCATCAGGCAACACTTGGGTGGATTCTTTGTAGGACAGAAAGCATCCTTCAAATGGCTCAGCGACCACAGCACCATACAGAAGTCACAGAGTTATTATCAAGGGTGATTTTCAAATCACATGTGATGGAGCACATCTGTGCCACTTAGCAAAACTTCTAAAAAGGAGCCAGTGAAAGGACAGGCTGTCATGATGCTTGTAACACAGGAATTGAGGATGATGCTCCAAAAGGCCCTCTGTCCTCTCTCTCTTCACTCTCTCCTCCTCCTTCTCCCTCCATCCCTCCCCCCTCCTCTCTCTGTGTCTCTCTCTCTCTCTCTCTCTCTCTCTCTCTCTCTCTCTCTGTCTCTCTTTTTGACTTTTTGAGACAGGGTTTCTCTGTGAAACAGCCCTGGCTGTCCTGGAACTCACTCTGTAGACCAGGCTGGCCTCGAGCTCACAGAGATCCACCTGCCTCTGCCTCCCGAATGCTGGGATTAAAGGCTCTGTCCACTCCTCTCTGAAAAGTGCTAAGGCTCATGATTCTGTCCCATTCTCTGTTCCACTCAGTATAGTGCCTGATGTTCACCACTGTGAGACTCTCCTCTCCCTTTGCTTAGGCTGAGGAGGAGTGGTACCCAAGGCACCAGATTCTCCAACCATCTCACATCCCAGTGCTGGGTGGTATTCCTAAGTAGTGCGCTTCCTTGTCCTGCAGCCTCTTGGGACACCCAACATTTGTGTTCATCCCCTCAGAGACTCCCTGTGAGACACATGTTGTGAATGGAATGGGGTAGCAGGTCCACAGAGTCACCTGATTGCAGGCACCCTTCACCCAGATGGTACCCAGACACGCTGGGCTCAGCAGCCAAGAAACCATCACACCTTCTCTCAACTCTTCCCTCATCTTGGTGTGAGGTGACACTAGTACCGCACTTAGGCGCTTAGTCTTTAAGTCAGAATCCTTGAACCATGTCTGATCTACACTTTCTTTCTAATCTCTCTAATCCAGTCACTGAGAGGATCTGCTTCAGGGCTTCCCATCCATTTCCTCATCCTTATCTCTTCCCAGCAGGCCCCAGTCCAGACCACTCTGTTCAGCCCAACAGCCACGTTTCAGGTTTCAGTGACTTCTGTTTTCCTACTCAAGTCCCAAGGACTATATAGACAGAAGGGCAAAGGCAGACTGGGGCCAGTTTTTGTATGGCCAGGGGGAAGAATGGTTTTCTATACTTTTTAGAGGGTTGTGTAAAAAGAAAAAAAAAGTCATTTGGGTGGTAGAGACAGGAGGATTAGGAATTCAAGATCACTCTCCACTGTCTTGGGACCAGCATGGGCTACCTGAACTCTGTCTCAAAAAGAAAAAAAAGGAGAGAAGGAAGGAGACAGATGAAGAGGAAAGGTAAGAGGAAGAGAAGAGAGAAGGGGAGGGAAGAGAGGGACAGAAGGGGAAGAGGAAGGGAATGGAGAGAGGAGGAGTGAAAGAGTTTAGGGAGGGGAGGAGGGAGGAGTGGAGATGCAGGGAGGAGAGGGAGGAGAGAGGAAATACCAGAGGGAGGATTGCTAACAGGGACTATGTGGATCACAGTCTGAAATGTTTACCAATAGGCTGTTTATTTCAGAAGTCTGCTGAGCCTGTAGCCACGCTCCACCTGTCTGAATTTTTTTTCTCAGAAACATTATTCTTGCCTGTGTGGGTGAAACACCAACTCCCTGGCTCAGCATCCAGCTCCTGTCAGAATTGTCCCCATCCTTCCTTCCTCCTCATCTCACGGTCTGTCTTGCTTTCCACACACGCTGACCACCATAGCCCTCACATTACGTTCAGAACACTGCCCAGACTATCCTGGGCCTGTGGTCCTTCCGCCTAACCTGTTTTTCCCAGTTCTCCTCCGATAATCTCCTAGAGCCTCACATACCTGCACGTCAGTGCCCGAACCCCTGTCCTTTTCTGATTATCTACCAGCTGGTAAGAAGAGCCTAGTTGTTTTTTTCAGCTGTCAAATCCTCTCTCTCCTTTCCTCTCGCATCAAACCAAATCACTCCATCCTGTATCTAAGTAGTTCCTGATTTTAAGATTCCCACCTGCAAAATCCTTTGCACTTTCTACACGTCCAAATACACAGCCATCAATGTCAAGATCAACTGCCCCTTCTCCCAAATGCTTTCTTCGAACCTCCCATCTCTAAGTCACCCCGTTCTTCTTAAGACTCCTGGACGCTTTCTAAACTCTTCTGAGACACTGGACAATTTCTACCCAGTGGTGTGATTGTATAGTCCAGAGTGGCTCTGAACCCCAAATCTCCCCCACATGCTCAGACTGTAGTGTGCACCACCACTAGTATTTGTAGGGATGATTTATCAGGTTCATGGATTTTTTTTTTAGTTCCTTGCCTATCATCTTTGTGTGATCTTCCACCGCCAGCTACTACCCCAGAACCTTTTCTACAGAAGGAACCTGATATACACATTGAACAAGTAAATGTAACTAAACGGTCTTCACCAGTCACCAATATTTTGTACAATAAAACACCAAAGAAAGGTTCACAATTAATGCTTGCCACAGTTTAAGAAATCAGCAATAATATTGTTCCAGCCACCGGCATGCTACGATACAGTCTGTTCAAGGTGAACACTGAGCTAACCATTCAGAAAGAAAACCCAGTGACCACTTTTCATGACATCCATGTTGAACGTTTGGCTGCTTGGCACATAGAAAATGATTTTTTTCAAGTGACACTATGGGAAGACAACCATTATTTGTGACAGGGGTACACAGGTTCACACACAAAGACTGTTATATAAAAATGATATTTATCTTGATGATTTCCTGATTTTCCATACAGCATGTGATCAGAAAAAGAAAATGGTTATTTACGATTGTATATGAACTCCAAAGCTTTTTTAAAAAATAAATTTACAATTAAATTAAGAATTCATATTTGGATTAAGATATATTTTACCACTATTAACATAATGATTGACGTTGGTAGGTAGAATATTGAATTATCTCCCAAACTTCCAACAACATGTGAGCAATATGATATATTAACCTGTCACCAGTACAGAGCATGAAGCAAAATATTTCTATGTTGTGACAGGATACAGACAATTAACACGGGGATGTTTCGAGCTGTCCATCTCTCTGCCCAGAAAACCCACCTAGTTGGTCCATCATTGCTCCTTCCCCATCACTCTGCACCCAGCCTCCTTTCACCTCTGCCGGCTCCTAGAACTAGAGGGTGGCGGGGGTGGGATGAGGATGGGGTGGGGGTGAGCAGTTCTCCTCTGGAAAGGTGATGTGGGTCCATGGCAGAAGGAAGAAAGAATTCAGTGGGAGAGAAGGTGGGGTACAGAGAGGTGGGGTGCAGAGAGGTGGTGATGAAGCTGGAGTAGTGGGGAGAGAGAAAAGCAGATGATGGAACCAAGAGCTCCTGCTGAGTGGAGGAGGGACTTAGGCAACAGTAGGAGAGCCAGCCTCAAATGCCTTTGTCAAAATCCGTGTGATGCTCAAGCTGGCTTCAAGTTCACTTTCCAGCCTCACCCTCTGGGGTACTGGAATTACAGGCAGGGACCACCACACTGGCCTCTGGATTCCTTTTTATTTCTTGTGTGTCATTTTAAATGTTATTAAATGTGACACGACATGGAGACAGAACCACATGTGAACAGAGTTCCATTAGGGGTGTATGTATATGCATATTTATAAGTACATATTGTACACACTCAGTTCAGTGTTTCTAGAATTGAGCACCGAATACTTTAAGTATCTTATGACTTAGGTTTGTGTTATAAAATACAATATTACACAAATACTTTATTCTTCTAGGTGAAAAGGAAGCTTCAAAAGGAAGTGCAGAGATTTTTTTCTTTCTTTCTTTTTTTAGTGGTTCACTGGGGATGTGGTCGCTATTTCTCTCTGCATTTACTCTTCCTTGGTAAAGGGTACCTAGGAGGACCGACTGAGAATCTCGGAGCTGACCAAAGACAATCAAAGGCAATGCTTAGTCCGCCTGGATGGTAACACGGAAATGCCAGTTAAACATCCAGCAAGCTATGCAGGAGGGAAGAACGCTTACCTTGGTGTTTGTAATGAGGGAGATTCCTATTTTGCTTGTGTTCTTAAACAGTCACACACCAAACTGAATGACAGGAGCAATGAGCCAGCAGGATGCAATCACTTCAGTTTTAGCCCCATTTTCCCTGTTTCTGCCAGTGTTGGGATTGAACCCAAGGCCTACGCATGCTACACATGT